AAGTGCCGCTCCGCCGGGGCGCCGCGCCGCGCCCGAGAGCCCGCGCGGCCCCTCGGGAGCGGTTTGTTAGCAGGTGTCGCTTAGCGGGGCCGTGCGGGGGCTCCGCAGCTTCGAATAACCATTCCTTGAATAGACGGATCGGAAAAATGCCTTGAAGTGACGAAAAAATTAAGGAAGCGGACTCCGTGGCGTAAAGGACGGTGATGAATCCCGTTAACGTTTATGGGCTTCTCTCTTTTTTGTTCCCCTTTTATATCCTACCTGTTGTGAAGGAAAATCTTAAAGTGCACCTATTTACAGTAAACTGAAAGGACTAAGAAGTCACGGCTGAAATTCAAAGCCTATAGTACACATATTAGTCTTATTTGGTGTTATTTTGATGGATATTACTTGACTTTTTTTTTTTCTTTGCAGAAGTAGTAGAATTTCAAAAAATAGTGGGTAGCTTAATTGAACTTGTTGATCAACTAGCAAAAGCTGCTGAAAGTGAGAAGATGAAGGTACTGCGCAATTAATTACTGGCTTGTAACATACCCTGCCCTGTACAATGCATGAAAAACCAGCTCCCTTCCTTCCTACTTTTACAGTATAAACAATAATTTTCTGTCAGCATCATGCAGATATTTTCCATGGTAGTTAACATCTCCCTGCCTGTCTGGTATGAAAGCATAGGGGCTACAAAAAACTGACATTAACAACTGGAAAAATTTTATAAGCACACCTGGAGTGTGACATTACTCCTGCATTTAATAGTGCTACTGTTGCAGCTTATCAGTATATTGCATGTAAACAGAAAATGTTTTCTGATCAATATTTCTACCATTTGAACTTAGTTCATGAGAGGATCCACGAGGAGGAAGAAAGGGCTGTCCAAAGACCAAATCAATATATATCTCTGTAACTACCTCTGAAACTTTCTTGGCGTATTTCTATGCGTCACTAAGACTTTTTTCCCCCCTATTATTGCGAAAATAAAAATGAACAACTAGCAAAATTGTAGGTAGTTGCTTTTTCATCATTTGTTCTGGGGAAAAAATTATAACCAGAGCTTGTCTATCTGTAGTACTAGTCACCAATGATCAGATTGTATTTCCAGAAGAGTCAGTGGCTTTCCTGTCAGCGTGTTATGAACACTTGAAGTTTGAAGGAAGCCTCAAATGCCTTAATCTGCACAACTGCTACAGGGCTGTCTGCCTGTTCCACTAAACATTCAGTATCAACATGATATCCTCTTCTATTGTTAGCACGGCTGAAACACTTCAAAATCAATCTAATAGTAACAAAAGTGGTTTTAAAAAAAAAAAAAAAGCTCCTGATACAACTACGTCACTGCAAATCCTGTTTTGACAGGCCATTGGTGCACGAAATTTGCTGAAGTCTATAGCTAAGCAAAGAGAAGCTCAGGAACAGCAACTTCAGGCTTTAATAGCTGAGAAAAAGATGCAGTTGGAAAGGTAAGTTTTATATTAAATATAGTTTTTTGGGCATTGATTTAATATTTTGAAATGAAAGTAGTATATCATACATGACAAACTCAGCTCAATTATGTAGACTGTATACTCAGTCTTATCATCTGTGCTTGCCTGAAGGAGGACAGTCTCTAAGCTTGTTCAAACAGTCCACCTGCAGCTAAGGTGTATCCTCCCATACAAGGCATGTATGAATAATGCAGCAGCATAATTCTATGCTTAACTTAAGGCCCTGTCTACCACTCTTGCAGGAAGCCTCATTTCTAATGTTTTTGTGGCTAAATAGAGGGGGCACGAGATCATGCAGCTAAGAAACTTAATAAAACTGTAATACAGTGCTGTTTGGATTTTTGTAGGTACTTCAGAACTGCAGTGTCTAACTGATGTAGCCACTGCTTTAAAAATTACTTATGCGCTTAGCCTAGATTTCCTTCACAACAGACCCATGAAGATAGAACTAAATCATCTAAATAACAGGAGCTGAATGTAGCTTGTAACCATTTTTTCTCTTTCAGATACCGAATAGAGTATGAGACACTATGTAAAATAGAAGCTGACCAGCATGAATTCATTGACCAATTCATTTTTCAAAAATAAAGGATTTTAAGATAAACAGCATACTGACCTGGGAACTTGACCATTCCAGGATCCTGAGGCTTTCAAAAATATGCAATTTTTCATTGTATATGAATTAACAGATGGCTTGTACAAATGAAAATGTTTTTTAATACAATTTGAATTTACACTAAAAGTGGCAATAAGGAAAGCTTTCTAACAGATGTAAATAAAGACAGTTCTGTCCTGTAGTTTTATAAAATGTTTGTACAGTCAGTAGTTCAAATTCAGATTACAATTGAATTAACGCTACTGTTGCTATGTTATGTCTCTCACTTTTTGAAGTGTGCAACTCTTTTAAATAAATCAGGAAATAAATTATTGTTTTCAGACCTTCTGGGGAATCTCAGAATTACTGCTTCTGCTAAGTTTATTTCTGCTCTTAAGAGTTTACAACTCTGCATAATCATAATGGAGAATTTCCTACGTATAATATTTTCATGTTTATAAAGACAACACACAACAGAGAGAAGCAGCAGTAATTTTATCTGTATTGATCAGATTTTCCTTTTCTATCCATTTAAAAAGAAAACAAGGAAAATTGAGCAACAGTTGATTAATTACAAATGAAAAAAGTAGAAAACATAGAATTCAGATTAAATTACATCTGAGGTGCAACGTCCATACAGCTAGTAATATTAGAGTAGAATATTTTTCTGAACATTAACTTCAAATTGATGAGACAAACTGTTCCAAGGGTACTGTAAAACAAGGGGTGTATATATAAACTATAAATATGAATGTGACATTTAAAAATAAAATGCCCATATTTTACAATGCTGAAAGGACTTCACATTTGATATTAAAAATCAAGCCTTATGGTGAAGTGCCAATGGATGCATTTTATGCCTGTCTTTGGGCAACCAAATATGGAAATGTTGGCCTTTCAAAGACTGTAGAAGTTTTAAATTACACACCGATGAAGTCTGGAAACACATAGGCAGTGACTGAAAAGCCTATTCTTTGAGCTGTAAATTGTACACAAATCTCTAAGGTTGATTCTTACAGATCAGATTGAGGGGAAAAAAAAATCTAGCAGATGGTAGGTTTTATTTACTGTAATTTCAAAGTCTAATGCAACATTTACTGTATGGACTAGGTAAGATGTCGTGGTCATTTTAAGTTCCTTTTAGTCATAAGAAGTTTAAATGAAAGGCTAGTTCAGATACATTTAGTTATTTATTTTCATACTAAAAGTGATTTCATTGGAAGCAAGTAGCTTACAAATGCTTGTTTACAATTGTTGAAGTTCTTCAAAATCCTCTGGGGAGAAGTGTGCCTCATTGTCAAACTAAGTTAACTTTAAGCATTCAGAGATCTAGACTTTTTGGCATATATTTCACTGACCAGACATTTACAGTTAATCAAAATTTGAGTTGAGGAAAGCAAGGTGAGATTTGGCTTTTTGGAAGGGGTGGAAAAGTTAAGGATTGTTATATGGAAATACTTCAAAAGCATAGCTTTGCAAAGTTGTGTATAATCGCTTACAGAGTTTGCACAATGTCTTCTTAGAAGATAGTTTTCTTACTTAAGGGACTTTATAGCAGTCATCTTGGAAAAAGACTAGCTGAATGAAGAACAAGTATCAGATGCAATTCCGCCCTCCATCATACAGTTACGTACCACTGTGGTAAAGGTTTATTTTCCTAATATAGATGTGCCACACAAGGTTGACAGTGCAAGAGGAGCTAGGCCCCTGGAGCTGTGTACACACAGATACCACATGGAATTGCTAATAGAGGCTGCCACCAAAGCTGTTTCTGATTAGAGTAGAGCTGTAAGCTCGAGCCAATTCAAACTTTTCTTACAGGAGTCTGATGCTCTGGTAAGAGCTGTGGGAGTTGACAGTATTAGACTGATATTTGTCCCAGAGGACTAGGTCAGCATAGGCTCTAATAAAGAAGTAATGAGTGCTGCACTTAAAATTTTTTATAGCTGACTTACTTCTTTTTCCTTTTCTCCACGTGGTTGTATTGGCGGCTGTACAGCATGGTAAAGAGAATCAGAATTGGAATCAGCAAATATGGTGCATATACAGATAAGAGAATTAGGCGTTCGTGTTGTGTCTGAGGACCCAAATGCTCAGATTCTGAGAAATCATGAAACAGGATATGAGCAAGGATAGCAAACAAAGTTGTAGCTACATGGCTGGAGTAGATAATTGCAGGAGTCCTTATCCATTTGCAGCCACCTGTATTGAGGCAAAAATGAAGCAATATTGAAATATTTTTGAAAAGAAATATAATTCAGTAGCTTTTAAATTAACAGAACATTAACAGTTAAATCTGTGACAGGCTGACTTATAGTCATAGTAAATAAGTGGTAGAAGCATTAATACCAGTAGCAACCCAGGAAAATTAGGATCTAACTTAGAAATTTAGAATGATGCCGCAATCACAAAAGTTTTAAAATAACAAAATAAGTACACAGACTTGACCCAGAACTTTGTCTATGTTGGTAGCTTGCCAGATGTTAAATGTTGGTGCTGGTTACACATAAATGACTGCAGTTGAAAAGGGCCTGCAGTTACAGTTTTTATTTCTGATGGCTTTTATTCTATGCTGCTTTCTCAGATAAAACTTGCAAGAAAATAGTACCCTGCATGGTGTGTCCCTCTAATTGCTCAAGACTGCTGAATAAACTTTCTTTGCTATACAGAAAGCAAATGTTCTGCAGAAATGCTGCACATGACATACTGTTCTTCCACTTTTATACCAACCTTTTAAGAAGGCATATGCTGCAATGGGAAAGAAAGGCATTTGTAAGAAGGCTTCGCAAAATATAAACGACTTAAACCACTCAGGGGGCTGCATCATCATTGGATCTCTGAAGGTGACTGCATACCACTGTAACAACTCCGTCAGCTTAAGGAAAAGAACAAAATAACAGATTAATACACTGAATATCAACTGCAATGGAGGCAAAAAAAAAAAAAAAAAAAAAAACCACACCCAGAACCTTAGGTGCTTTTTGGATGAAGTCTGTCATAGCAGTGGGAGAAACCATGTGATCTCATCTCAGTACACAAGTGCAAAATCTTAGTGCAATTTTGTCTTAACTGGGATTAAATTCCTGAAGTCTTCCATGTGATGAATCCTTTTCTTCAAGTATATATTAAATTTATGTTACAGGCAGTTTTCCTGAACTGTCATTTTCTACCAAAAAAAAAAAACCCACAAAAAAATCCACCCCTTGAGATTAGTGAATAAAGGAAGAATTCTTTTATTTTACTCTTTCTGACCCTCTTATTGCCAGAACAGGTGGGCTCAATTTTGCAAATATTTTTAGGCACTTGTAGTATCTAACCAGGTAGTGTGACTTATGGAAGCAACCCCAGCCAGGTCTCACTAAATCAAGAGGAGTTTGGTGCCTTGCTCACTCAGGTGAGTGCATTGTTAGACTCAGAATACATGGCTACCTACTGCAGCTTGAAGAGCTTGATGTAAGAATTTGGGCCTAGTGAGTCACAATCTGTTTCCATGATAGAAATGTAAATTCCAGCATGGCTTTAAGTTGGACTTTGAACTGAAAGATATGCATTGAGATTTGCTAGTTAACTATTAATTAAAAATGGTTTCTATAATGCAATAATTGGATTGGATGGCAAAAATCAAATTCACTAAATGTAAAGCTAGTAGAAAGTTATGGCTGATCTCATTCTGATGACGAGTTGAACTGACTGGGATCTATCCATCTATTGTTGTGACTATTTATTATATTTACTGTCTTACATACTTTTAACCAAAAATCAGCAAACTGAATATTTTTATTAATACATTTGGATATGCCTGGTCTTAGATTTTGGTAACAATTCCTTTTCACATTTTTGGTGGGAGTATGAGCCAAATTCAGGAGCACTGAATTACAAGGATGGTTACGGAGTCACATTTCTAGAAACTGTATGTGACAGATAGTGCAGCATGGCACATTCCTATGCATATGAATTTTATTGTTCCAGTCTGCTTTCCTCTACCTGAAAAAAATCATACTACACTGGGAAAATCATCATCCACACTATAAATTTATCAGGGATTTTTCTTGCTTGCTCCTCTTAATGTAGGCATTCAAATCGAAAGGAGTAACGTGCATACATTTGATTTAGAAATCTGCTTTAAAAAAAAAAACAAAAAACAACAACAAAAAAACCCCCAAACTCATGGCCGCTACATATACCAGTAAATCAAGTTTATTCTACTCCCAAATGAATGACTGCAGAAGAAAATATAAGTCACAGTGCAGATAGAGAAGTGGTTTTTTTTTTAGTACTATTTTATTTTAGGAAATTTACTACATTTTTTTCTTTATGTCTCTTTACATGCTAGATTCCGCCCCCCCCCAAAAAAAAAAACCCAAAAACACAGGATCAATTAAATCAAGCTGAGAGATACATATGAAATTACTGCTATTCAAAACCTTTGCACAGAACTATGTCCCTCGTGCTCCAAAATCCCTTTTACCTACCAGTCGCTACAGCTTTTGTACAGAGCTGCATACAAACAAATCACAATCTAACTGAGATCTGAGCAGCTTCTCATCAACAGCTACTTACGCTCTCCGGATAGATACCAGCTCCAGGCAGAAGAGCTTGCAGATCTATCATTAACGTGATAGGAATATGAGAGAGAAAGTACACAGCGAAGACCCACTCCAGGAGGCGAGTCAGAGCAGCCATAGCTGCAACACTCCCGACATGCCCCTCCCGACTCCCGTCAACCCTGCGCGCAGCGGCTCTGCGTCCTCTGCACAGACCCTGGCTTCTGTGGCCCTGGCCTCGCCGTACTGCTGAAGGACTATTTTAAAGACATTAAAACATTGAGGGAGGAAGAAGGAAGACATACAATTTAGATCTTGGGTTCCCCATTCAAAGCAGCCTCTAGCAATACAACAAATGAATTTATAGCTGTTTGCTTATGAAATAATGCAAATATACAAGCATATGCCTGAATTTCAAAGTAACTTAAAAAACAGAACAAAAGCAAGCAAAGTGTCTGACTTGCTATGGAACATATCTTCCTAAATCATTTAAGCCTGAGATACTGAAAAGCATTTCGTCTATACACTTCTCAGCAGCAGCTAACCTGCTAGTTATACTTTAAAATGTTATCATGTTTTCCCATCGTTTGTACTCATTTCTTCCACGTTTCTTGGCTGAGTACTGTAGCTAGCAAAAAAGGTATTCCAGCAACTAACCACCTCTTGCACAACAGTTTCTGACAGACTGGACTATCTTCTACAGATGGTAAGGCTATGAGATTTACATATCAAGGCTAAGGATCAAGCTTTTTCAGTATTTAAACAGACTAAGGATCAATGTAAAAAAAAATTTGTTTATTAGTACTAACATGTCTTCCATTGATGCTTCTATCTTCATCACAGAGCTTAAAAAGTCACCAAATCAAGTTACTGTATATCAGATAACTGAGTGGGTCTGATTGCATCCCTAACTGAGCGCACAAGTTGTCCAAGGTGTAGACCCAGGCTATATTTCAATTATCTGCTAGGATTCCAGTTTCCTTCATTTATCAATGTTGCAAACAGCTTAAAAGAAAAAAAGTCATATGTGAGCAGGATTATACAATTATAATGCACAGAATTTTCTATCGAGTGACAGAAGAATTAAATATATATATATATATATATATAAAGAACAAAGAATCCAAGAATCTTAAGATATTCTACAAATAATATAAATAAAGGATAAAATAAGAAGATTGGTAAAATTGCTACCAAGTACATATCAAAACCATCTATTCAATCTGCTGAGTATTCATACACTCCTAGCAGGTCAAATGGGAATGCAGATTTCAATTCTGTTCTGCAGATGTTATTTATCCAAAACTGTGCCAGTGTCTTCACTGAAATGCTTAACTTAACTTTAGGAACCTTTAATTTGTAAGTATATTCTCCCCAGGTTCCTCTGTAACACTGAGCCATATCTGATGGCACAAGCCCCTAAAGGAAAATGTGGTGATTTATATCCACTGAGGATTTGAGCCATTTGAAATGAAATCCTGTTTCTGTTAATCTTAACAAGGCCAGAATTTCAATGCAATATGTGTTTAATAACACTGTGACTTCGAGACCACATTAGTCAATTATGTACTTTGCATGTTTCTCAAGACACAATCTGCAGCCTCTGCATGGGCATACACACAGAAATCACTGTGACAAAAAATGATATTAGGAAGCATTAAACGAGCCTAGTCAGTCAGGTGTTTCACTAACCTCCAACTTCATCCACCCCAGTGTGAAACACAGCTGCATCTGTTGCTCGAGGTGTTTCTAAAGGCTTACCTCTTTATTATGTCAAGAAGTTGTATTTCATCAAATGAACAGAAGCCACAGGAACAACAAAAAGTCTAGTACAGATAATTAGTTAAATAACATTATTTAACCAATGTGCTGTAAATGCTTTCTCAGGATGTAGGTCTCCCGAATACAGGACTAATACATTGGCAGCAGAAAAAAAAAAACTTTGTAATTTTATAAGTTGATATAAATCAGTCAGAGATATTTCTCCATACATCAGGAAATGGATTCTGGCAACTGACTTTTCCATAGCTAATCTTGTTTAGTTCCATTGCATCACCTTCAAGTTATACACCTAGAGAGATTAGGCCTTCTAACATTTGGATGTTTTTTGAAAACTTGTGTTTAATTTTAAAAAGCTCTTTTTTGCATTCCCTACTTCTGTACTCTGGTCAAGGCACAATTAATAAAAGGAGATGCAGAAACTATATTTAGAGAGCTTACAGATGAGTAATGATAAGTTTTAATTCACTTCACATTGTTATCAGCAAAGCTTAGAAATGATTAAAATGCAACTCTGAAAACTGCTGTCTACACTGCAAGCTAGATTTTAACCTTACTGAGGAAGACAGAAGCCTCTCATATGACCTCACATTTTAGATCACCTTAAGCGTAAGGCATATACACATGTGCGTTCACCTTACAAACAAAGTATCTTTGTCAGAGACAGCTCTTATGAGCTCTCACTTCCATTGTAGTTAACTTACATCAAAAAATGTAAAATACAGCAAAGACTACAGTTATGGTTTTTATATATGTGCACATCTAATTTTAATTACACACACACGTTCTGCAAAGTGCCTTGCCCACATCTATATCAAAACACCCTGAGAGGTAAATGTCCAAAAGACATTTTATTCTTCACATGTTTATGAATGAGATTAACCGATGGAACTCTGGCAATTAGCTCCAAAAATGCACTAATGCACAAAGTAGACTTTGCTAGTTGTATTACTGTGTGCTAATACATTTACAAAGCTATGTGTCAAAACGAGAAGATGCAACAAAAACTCTCTATTTGTACTGTAGTCTTATGCTGAAAGAGAATCAAATGAGCAGACCAAAAAATGGCAGTGAACTAATGAAAACCAATTCAGTAATAGACAACGATGAAACAATAATGACATCACCATCACCAGTTCTAAAAGATAGTAAAATTTAGCTCAAAATAGTATGAAGTCTTTGAAGAAGAGGTATGTATATGAGAGTCACAAACAATATTCATGCTAGCACTTGGAAGAGAACCCATGCTAAAAAGATTGTCCTTCCCCTTATATCAGTTTATTTCTTGTAAAGTCTTGAAGCTTTAACTTGATAGTTCAATTTGTTTGATCTTTATGAGAGTCGTATCTATAAAACATATGAACTTTTTTTCATCCATATTGTTACAACACTGCTGAATGATGCATCCTTTGCATTAGTAGTATAGAAAACCACGAAGGCATACACAATGAAAAAAATTACACGAGCTCTGCAAATTAAGTACAATCTACAGTTGAATGGATGTCTTTCAAACTCCCTGTAAAGTGCAAGTCAGTTTCTTGTCTTGATTTCATCTGCAAGTTTTGCCTTTATTCAGGATCAAGCTTAGAGATTAAATATATATTTCATTAAAAAATAGATACATGTATACATAAGCATGTATGTGTGTGCACATGTAAAAATCAAAATCATGCCCAAAACAAGATGTTGTAAACTCTTTTTACTTGTATTCTTTCAGACATTATTCAGTCAAGATTGTAACAAGTGATTCTTAAATAAAGGTGGGAGATCAGGAAGGAAATAAAGATAACACCACTTCTTTTTCAAATGTCACATTTAATGTTTTCACCACTGTACTTCAAATCTACATTTTACAAAGTGACCAGCAAGTGTGCCACATTAACTGACCAACCTCTGAGATTTTACCTTTCATACCAGTGTCTTCTTGGGCTCTTTTAATCAAACACGTTTCTCATTCAAGTGAATTGAAATGCTTCAGTTGGTTTTATTCTCAGGAGCCTCATAAAAAACAAAGATATTGCACCATCTTTGTTCAGTAATTCAATGTTTGTCTCTTTCACAGCAAATAATTACTTCATTGAAGTTAAAACTTCCAAACATAACTTACTAATAGTCTCCAATTTCAGCTCAGATCACTCTTGTTGAAAATACTCTGCTAAATACAGATAACTTACAATAACTTTAACAGTTAATTGTCCATAACAAACACCACGGTTTTTCTCCAGACCAATGCTCAAATTTTAAGACCACCCTTTAGTATTTCTTTGTACAGGTGAAAAACAGTCTTCAATTTTCTAGTCTTGTTTTAAATATAAAAGTTGGAAGGGACATTCAAGTTTCAAGTCTCCACACTGAACTTAAAAAAAAAAAAAAAAAAAATCATGTGGAGGTAAACAAACCAAGTTGTATACTCCAGGAGGTAGAGGCCTTCAATTTGTGTTCATATATACATATGCACAGAATTCAGTGTTCCAACAGAAAAAGAATTAGCCAAAAAGTAATAAAAGTTATTTACTACTGTGACATTTCAAGACTTCCACAGCTTTGCCTAAAGACACGAACACAATTAACATAATTCCCTATGTGCTTTTTTTTCTCCTTTTCTTTTTTCTTTTTTTTCTCAACTGTCCAGTGCAGGAAAAAGTTCTCACAAAATTTCACAGACCTAAAATGTGCAAGCTAGTTTCTCTCTATACAGCAATGATGTCAGGGATCTCTGAAATTAGCCCATAAATGGAATTATTTACACACATAGAAGATGCATGCTGGGGAGTTTTATGTAAGAAAGAGCAGAAAAACTTCTAATAAAAATAGATTAAATATATATATATATTTATACTGGGTAAGGAAACAGAAGTTTAGTCTCTCCTAGTCACAAACTCATTCTCTCTACTCACAACATTTGATTTTAGAACAGCACACATCACCATCACAGCTCTAGTGAGAAGCTATTTATAGGATTTGATCATCAGGTGACACATCCACTTAATGTGGAAACTGTCATCTGATGTGACTTCATGATTGGTCGCAGTCAAGTTTTCTGTATTCCTTAGTTTTAGAAAACCCAAAATCTTCAGGAATGGCTCAATATCAAAACGTATGTCTATCTTTTTGTACAATCTCACTTCAATTAAAAAAAAAAAAAAAGAACAATAAACCTTCCCAAATTTGGTTCAAGTTAAAACTTCCAAACATAACTTACTAATAGTCTCCAATTTCAGCTCAGATCACTCTTGTTGAAAATACTCTGCTAAATACAGATAACTTACAATAACTTTAACAGTTAATTGTCCATAACAAACACCACGGTTTTTCTCCAGACCAATGCTCAAATTTTAAGACCACCCTTTAGTATTTCTTTGTACAGGTGAAAAACAGTCTTCAATTTTCTAGTCTTGTTTTAA